CATGCCCTCCCTGACAGGGCTGGTGTCTCTGAGGCGGCTTCCCAGGTCCCTCCTTCACCTCCCCTCCGCCTGCACAATGCCCCCGTCCCACAGAAACCAGTCAGATGCTTCAGCAGCCACCACTTATCTTTGCAGAAATATTTTTGATAGAAAAAATGCAATTCTCATCATAACAGCCCAGGAAAGTATTTTCTTAAGTCAAACAAGAATTTGAGTCAGAAAAACAGGAAATTCCTAAATACCTGGGTAGAAGATCACAGCCCACTCCGACCTCTCTGGTTTCCACTTCAGGTTTGGGCTGCGTTTCTGTTAAATAATAATCCAACTTGCTCTGTAGCTCATTATTCTAGAGATGAGGGAAAAAAGTGTTTTTAGTAAAGGTATGTTTCCCCACAAACAAACATGATATCATTTACATGTGTTATCAGATCTTCCCCGCGACATGGACACCCATCACAATGCAATTACTGATCACCTCTTACACAGCAGGGATTGAAGAAATACACTTAAGGAATCCTTGCAGATGGATTTCCATGCATGTACATACATATGTATCCAATTTTACATTAATGGAAACAAACAAAATATACTGATCTATCATAAATCTGTTTTTCACTTAACAATTTGTTGTGAATGCCTTTCCACATTTATTAGTTTGCTTTTTTATGTCAACAAACTCTGTTAATGCATTCATAGCATTCCATCGTATAGATGTACATTATTTATTTAACTAGTCTCTTATTGATGGGAATTTAGATATTTAATGCATTTTTTGCAATTATAAATAAGGTACAGCTCAGCTTTTAATACTCCCTTATTAAACTATAAAATGAGTAAGTCTATTAATTTAATTTAATGGGAAATACCTCTATAACTTAATAATTAGTATTTCATAGGTGTGGAAAATTCAGAATCTCAAACATATAAAATAGAACAAGCTCTTTGGGATTAAAATTAGCATTCTAATTATTTTTGTTTTCAGGCCAGGGCCAAACATTACGTAGGTTGATGATCACATGCTCAGAAACTGGAAATTTGCCCCATGGGGGAAATGAAGGAGAAAGGAGAAAAAAAGCTGAGGATATTGGAATGAAAACAGCTGAAGTGATGGTGTCTAAAATCTAAAGGGTACAAACATACACAAAAAATTCAGAAAGAAGTTAACAGTGGCCATCTCTGTATATTGAGGTTTTTGGATGTTTATTTAAAATTTCTACATATTTTTCTATAATGCTAGACTAACTTTTCATGAGGCAATGACCATATCTATCTTACTGGTTATATCCTCAGAGCATGGCATGTAAGAGATGCAAGATAAATGTTTATTGAATAAAAAAATGTGTAAATGCTTTCAGACTGAGCATATTATTTGCATAACTAGAAAAAACATTACATTTGTCTTTTCTTCTCTTTAAGTTGGAGCTGAAGCTGGGGCTCTATTCTAAGGCACTAGATAGCACATAAAAGTTTAAAAGTTCTATGAAACAGAGGCTCACTTGTCTGAAAGAACGAATGTGGGTTACAGCTCAGTAGCTCCTGCTCTGAATGGGTGCTGCCAGGAGCACAGCAGCAGCCCTGGTACAAACTCATGTCCTGCAGGATATGAAGCACTATGAATTCTTTCTAATAAGTGGGAAATGGTGTAAAGGAAAAGAATGCATTCCAGATTCCCTAGCAGCTGACAAGCCATGACAGATCTGCAGGCTCCGGATCTATCCCCTGACACTCAGCGTGGGAGAATGGTGCTGGCTCACTGCCAGGGTACGTCAACAGATTCTCTCTCTCGCTCGCTGTCTCTCTGTCTCTCTCTGTCTCTTCCCTGTTCTCTCATATGTAATTAGATTAGATTATAAATACTTTTGTACTTGGTTCTTTTCATTAATATGCATTTCCTATTGTAATGGTTGCATTATATTTTCTCTTAATCTCTTTAAAATACACATGATTTTTAAAGCAAAAATTATAGCAATGTTATTGTGGGTTTATAATGTATATAGATACAATACATATAATAACTGCAACAGCAGGAGGGGCAAATGGACCTATATCATTGCAAGATTTCTACATTTTATGTGAAGCGGTACAATATTACCTCTAAGTGCACTGTGAACATTTAATGATGTATATTTTAACACCTAGAGCAATCACTATTAGAGAAAAGGCACACAGCGAAATTCCAATTGATACATTGAAATGGAATTCGAAAAAATACTGAAATAGTCCAAAGGAAAGGGGAAACAAAAGCAAAAGCAAAACAAAGGGAATAAATAGAAAACAAATAATAAAATGGTAAATCTAAATCCAACTATATCATAATAGTTATACGTCAATGTATGATAAACTCCAATGAAAAGAGACTATTAGAATGTATTTTTAAAAAGCAAGATCCAACTTCATATTGTCTATAAGAGATGCACAGATGAATTGAAAATAAGTGCATGGAAAATATATACTATGCAAACTCTAAACATAAGAGGGCAGGAATGGCTACATTAATATCAGATAAAATAGACTTTAGGACAAAGAGTGGGAACAAACATAGTGACCAACATTTCATAATAATGAACAGGTTAATTCATCACCAAGACATAACAATAAAAAGTGTGTATGTACCTATTAATAGAGCTTCAAAATATATGATGTCAAAAACAACAGAATTAAAGAAGTGGACAGCCTAAAACCATAGTAACAAATTTCAGTACCTCTCTCAGCAATTGTTAGGACAATTATACAAAAACCAGTAAAATATAAATAATCTAAACAATATTATTAACCACCTAAATCTAATTGATATTTATAGAACACATACAAAAACAGCAGGATATACTCTTTTCACAATATTTAACCAAGAGAAACCATATGCTGAGCCATAAAACAAGTCTCAATAAATTTGAAAGAATTAAAACCATACAAAGTATGTTCTTTGACTATAACAATTAAATTAGAACTAAAAAACTATAAGATATCTAAAAAAACAACAACATTAAAACCCTCAACTATTTGGAAGTTAAACAACACACTTCTAAATAATCCATATGTCAAAGAAAACTCTCGAAGGAAATTAGAACATACTTTGAACTGGATGAGAATGAAAATACATCATAGCAAAGCCTGTGGGATGTAGCTGAAGCAGAGCTTAGAGGGGCATTTATAGCTTTAAAGGCTTATATTAAAAGAAAAGAAAGGTCTATAATCAATGTCGACCTCAAGAAGCTAGAAAAAGAAGAGCAAAGTAATACCAAAATAATTAGAAGGGGGGAAATCATGACTATCAGAGCAAAACTCAGTAAAATAGAAAACAGACAATAGAGAAAAATCAATAAAACCAAAAGCCATTTTAATTTTTTAAAACCAACAAAATTGGGAACCCCCTCGCTAGACTAATCAAAGAAGATGGTGGGGGGGGGAGAGGGTGGCACCAATGATCAATATCAAGAATTAAAAGAGATGCTGAGAGGAAATAGTAGAGTAGCTCTATGTGGGGAGAAAAATGATCCATCCTTACTTCATACAAGACGTAAAAATGACTCCAAAACAATCAGAGATCTAAATTACAAAGCAAAAACTGTAAAATTTTTGAAGGAAATTGTAGCAGAGTATCTCTGTGACCTTGTAGTAGGCAAAGATTTCATAGAATACAAAAAGCATAAACCATACAGGAAAAAAATGATAAATTGAACTTTATAAAAAATAAAAACCTAAATAAAAATATCTTCAAAATGTATCAAAGTGAAAAAGCAAATGGGATGAGAGAAAATGTTCACAATACGTATGTCTAACAAAGACCTGGCATCCAGAGTATAAAAAGTACACTTAGCTCAGTAATAAGAAAACTAAAGACTCAATAAAATAATAGGCAAATGAGACCCTTCAAAAAACAAGATATCTAAATGGCTAATAAACATTTTTAAATACATGGGTTTTTTATTTTAGAGAGAAAAGAAGGGAGAGAGAGAGAAACATCAATCGGCTGCCTCCTGCACGCCCCCACTGGGGATCGAGGCCGCAACCTGGGCAGGTGCCCTGACCGGGAGTCAAGCCAGTGACCTCCCGGTGCATGGGGCGACACCCAACCAACTGAACCACCTTGGCCAGGGCAGACAATAAGCATTTTAAAAGATGCTCACCATCACTAGTGACCACAAAATGCAAATAAGAATCACGACGAGATACCAGCCCATACCCTGTAAAGTGGCTAAATTAAAAAGACTGACAACACTAAGTCAGGGAGAGGATGTGGAGAAACTGGAACACTAACTGCGGGGGGAATATAAAATATTGCAACCCCTTTATCAAGCTGTTCATTCGACCTAGGAATTTACACAAGAGGAATAAAACATGTCCATATGATGACTTGGGCAGCAATGTTCAGAGCAGCTTTACTCAACATAGCCCCACACTGGAAACAACTCACATGTTTATCAACAAGCGCACGGGTAAATAAATTGCGATGCACTCATACACTGGAGAACCGCTCCGCAATACATCTGAGATCACTGTGCTGGTGAAAGCAGCTAGACACAAAAGAGTACGTACTATTTGATTCCACTTACATAAAATGCAAACAGGTCAGAGCAACTAAAGTGATAAAAGTGACCCATCCTTGAAAAAAAAAAGTGGTTGCCTAAAAAGAAGGATTGCCAAGGGAAACAGAGAGTCTCTGGGGAGTGATGGAAATGTTCTGTATCTTGATTGTGGTGGTGATTTCACGGGTATATATACAACTGTCAAAACTCATCAAATTATACACTTTATTTTTTATTAAAGTATAATTGACATATAACATATTAGTTTCAGATATACAACATCATGATTCGATTTTTGGATATATTGCTAAATGATCACCACAATAAGTCTAGTGAACATCCATCCCTATGCACTTTAAATAGATGCAGTTTATTTACATAAATTAATGCACAATAAGGTTGGCAAGATGAAAATAAAAGACGGTGAGAGCCCGAACACGGGTAGTACAAGGAAAGTTAGGAAGGGAGGGACAGATTTAAGAACTACTTAAAAACTAAAATGGACAGGCCTCGATGCAGGAAAACAAAGACTACCTGCTCTCAGCCCTGCAGCACAGGACTGAACCGGACTGACAAAAAGCAGCTCAGGCCGCCCGGCCTGTGCCTGCAGGAGGCTGCTTCTAGGCCGAGCCAAGCTCAGGGCTCTCCCACTTTCACATACCACCACCTTGTGTCCTGCTGTGAAATGCACGCCACGGTGGCTCTAAAGGCCCCGTGCCTTCCAGGAAGGAAGGACCCGGTAGGGCACCTTCGGGTAGTTTTTTTTGGAAATTATGTCACAAATGTCTGGCAGCCACCACCTCCCCCTCCTCCCTCAGGCCCAGGGAACGAGCAGCAGAGCTGTAACACATGCGCTAAACAAGAATGTGTGTCCAATAAAGTGCGTCCGTGGAGCCCTGGTGCCGGGGGCTGCTGCCCCAGTGTTACACGGGGAAGTTAATAAGAGCCCCAGGAACGCACCACAGACATGTGGAGAGGTTTATGGACCACACAATACACATTAAATGCAGGATGGACCAAACCAAGACATTTGAAGCCTTCCCTCTGACTTTTAAATTGAGCAGTACATGTAGGATTTTTTCAGCAGGAAAAAAAAATAAAATGGGATTTATGTAGAATTTCAGAAAGCTTATCAACCTTACAAAGATACATGCTTGGAATTTTATTTTAAGAACATCTTCTATATCAAAAGTAGGAGATGGGATATTTGTTCTTCAAGAGGTGAGCAAATAAAAATTCATTTGGAAAAAAGGAAAAAGAATGGGCACATTTTTGTATCAAGAAGGTTTTGACCAGTTGATGAAAATGCAATCTGATGGGACTAGGCTAGACAAACTTTTGGGGACCTAGTGGTGGTGGGGAATTGCAAAATCAAATGAGTTCAAGCATCAGTAAGTACAAATGATGAATTCAGGGCCCCAAATTATCCACCTTTCTCTATTTAAAAGAAGAAGAGGGAAGAATACAGAGGCAGGGGAGGAGGGGGAATATACATCATTGACAATGAAAGGAGGCCCTGGCAACTAGGCAACTGAAGAAATAATAAACACAAATACTTTTCTAATCACTTAGTATTAACTAATTTAATCTTTACAACAACTCAGCGGAGAGAATAACATTTTAAAGGACTTCAATTTATAGATGAGCAAACCAAGGCACAGAGCCACTAAGTAATTTGCTCACGATCACATAACCAGTAAGTGGGCAGAGCTGAGATTTGAACTCAGGCAGCCTGGCTCCGGAGTCTGCAATTAGGCCCTTAAAAGTAGTTACTTTATTAATAAGATGGAACACAGGAGTTTACCAGATCTATCCACCAAACCTTTCCAAAGAGATCTGAAACACAACTATTGGCATCATTACGGTTTAGGGCAGGGGATGGAAAGTCATGGTATAAAAATTACTGGTATTAGAACAGGTCAACGTAATAGAAATTCTTAGTAGCCAACAGAACCTTGTACTATAAAGCAATATAATTAGATAAATCTGGAGAACATTGGTGTGACCTCGTGGTCTTAAAAAAACACATATTTCCCCCAATTCTGTCACTACTAGAACTGGCACAGCACATGAGCCCACTACTAATTCTCATGCCCATATAGTCAATCTTCATGTGGTTCCCCACTAAAATGAACCCAGACTGCTTGGAGATAAGCCCGTATCCTATCTTGAGACAGGACAGAAACGAGGGCGGGTCTGAACCCCTTTTTGTTGCCCTGCGTTAAGAATGACTCTGAGGCCACCAGGAACCCTGCTCCCTGGGCAAAGCAGTTAAGGTAGGAGAACTCTCCCCAGCTGAGCTGTAACAATTTGAGCAACAAAACGAGGAGAAGGAGAAGGGAATAATTAATATGGAAACAAGGAGAGTCTAGAAACACCTTGTGTTCATGTCACCCAAAAGGAAAGTTAATATAAAGTGCACGAAAATATAATTTTAATAGAAAAGGAGGGTGAGTATAAGATGTGACAATTCGCATTGATTTTTAAAACTAGGTTAAGGCAATGTAGTTTCTTTTACTACAGTATTTGTTACATGTGTGTTTATTAAATTTCTGTGTTAAGTAGGAAAGAATAACAAAAGGGCTAATTGTGGATCAGGTCATCCCAGGACTTTAGTGCCCAAGGAAAGACTGGTTGGCCTCAGTAGTCATACAACTCGGCAGAAAGAGGGGCAGCAATTCACGGGCATCAGAGGTCACAGTCAGCAGTGTGTCTGTAACATGATAAACTAGTCACACAGGCCAAAGAGGAAAACCCAGTGCTCAGGCTCAGTCTCTCCTGTCCTAGGAGATGAAGTCTCTACATGGTCCAACTAATTAATTATTGGTGAAATATTAATAAGGGATGTATTCGTTTCTAATAATGCTAACAACCAGGTCAGTGCATCACAATGACAAGGGGTCCTGAGTGTGAATCACCCTGAAGCCACCTAGGAATCAGCAGGGTGCCCACCCACATTCTCTCCCCTTCGCTATCAGGAAAAGCAATCCTATCTCTTTTGGATCTGGCAGATCATTGCTCCTGTCTCGAAAGTGCCCAAATGACATTAAGTCTAAGAAAACACTGAAATAAGTAAAATAGCCTTTGGAAACCAGCAAAAACAAGAACAGTAACAATGAAGAAATAAATTAGACCTGTGATATTTAATATTTTAGAACAGATTAAAGCATAAATGTATTATTCAATTTTGTCATTAACTTATTTTGTACCTATTTTGTCTGCTGTTTAAGGTGGATGTTTGAAATGGTCAAAAGGAATTAGCCATACTAACTAACTAAGGGAATTTAATCTATCAAATTTATAACCAATCTTTAAATGCTCAAGAAAAACTGGTTCAAAGTCTTGCTTGTTAGCTATACACAGTAGACACTGTCAGCCCCACCCATATGCTCTGGGCACTCACCATTTCTGACACACCACTGTGACTCTCCCTGCGGCTTCCTCTGACCGTGGAGTCCAGGTCACTCTGCCCGCAGCAGAAGGGCCACAGCCCCCAGGCTCAGGCCTTAACCAATGGCTGACGGCAGTTAGTGGATAAAGGCCCCAGCTTTCTGAACTTCTGGGAAGGATAACTCAGAGCCAGTGGCACACATCTCCTAGAGACCCCACAGGGGTAACCCCCTCAGTAAGGCACCCAGTACTGGCTTTAGGCCCCTCCCTGTCTCACTTCCCTACAGAGGCTTCCTGGGATCACCTCCCAAATAAACTGTGTGGACTGATACCCACATCTCAGGATCTGGGCAACCCAAACTAGAATAGGAGAGGAGTTGAAGAAACCAAGCATTAAGCAAAGTACAAATAAGTGTATGGGCTTCTCCATGCACATTATTCCCTAGGACAATTCATAACCTACCGATAGGAGGGCCGGCTTGAGTAGCCCCACCAGGGAGGAGGAGGGGGAAGGGCACTGGGCACTGTCTCGGGTGACCTTCTGTCTCTCCTGGCAGCATCTCCCTCCTCTCTCCTGTAACCACCCTCTCTCTAGACCCATGAGCATCCTCTGCGACGCTCACTCTCTGACTCCCACTGGGCACAGTGTGATTCCCCTCACCATGAGCTACGGCCTCAGAGGGCAATCTTCAAGACAGAAATGTCCAGTCAGAAGGCAGGAGCTGGGCCCAGTGACTGTGCAGAAGACGGGAATGGCACAGGACAAGTATCTATTTACACAGCTGCCAGGACACTGAGACTCTTGGGCCTTGAATCTGCTACCAGGGCCCCATGGGCAATAAGGGACTTCTGGTTATGACTTTTGTAAGCAGTCCCTCAAAAAACGGAGTAAATGAAGACCTGGCTCACCACTCCCACAAACATAGTCGTGAAGAGCTCAGGCTTTGAATCCAAGCTTACCCTTCTCCTCTGCCACAGGGGGCGGGCCCTTAGCACCTGAACCTCGATTTCCCCATCTATAAAATGGGGGAACTATAATCTAACTCATTGGGCATGCTCTTAGTAAAGAGAACACCACTAACAAGTTACACGTTACTGAGCGCTCAGTACCGGCCAGGCACTCTATGTTCTCACTGCCGGGCACACACGTAGATGCAGTTAACAGCCTCACTGTTTAAGAAACTTCCCCAGCTTCAGCCAGCTAACACGAAGCACCAGTCTGATTCCACTCAACTTCCACGTCATACAGAGGATATGGAAAGTCATTAACAGTGCCCGACGAGTACTAGGTGCTTGATAAATGTCCCTTCTTTCCTGGCCCCTTACCTCACCCTTGTCTCCTGGGCTGTCCCTGGGGAGGGACTACAATGAAGAGACAGGCGAGGAGGGATTCAGGGGACTCGGAAGGAAGAGGCTCAGTGCCAAGCTCTTACTAAATACCCTTCAGAGCAAATAGTTTGGCTTCTCCTTCTGCTAATACCTCAGCCCTTAAAGTTCTTCCAACTCCATAATTTCCTTCTCTGGAACCTACACAAAATCCCCAAAATGACTTTCAAAAAGCCAGAAAGTCAGGAGTACTAAAAGGCTTTAAAGTTTCAGGTGAAAATTAAGTCACTGCCAAAGCACACTGACTCGGTGTCACAGAAGAGCAGCGACTGGGAGCCCGTCTCTCCACCTGGCCCTGGCATTTGCCGAGCTGGGTGTTCCTGAGCAAAGCCACCTGCCTTCTCTGTGCCTCCTTTATAAAACTTGGTTAATACAAAGATAACAATCCTTGCCTTGCCTTTCTTAAAGTTGCTGAGAGAATCATATGAGGAATGTATGTGAGAATACTTCGCAAATTATGAAGCACTACACAAATGTTGGCAATGATCAGTATTAATCAAAAGCTTATCAGACTTGCTAGGAAAATCCTTGGACACGAAAAACAGCCAAAATCAGGGGTGAGCGGCAGGCTGGGGTGAGGAGAGCCAGGTGGTAAAGAAAAACTAGCTGTCAGAACCTCATTTTCAGTGTTGGCAGTTAACCTTCAATCAATTTTATAAGGCCAGGAAGTAGCCATATTTTTAATTAAGTGTCGATGGCAGGCTCAGCAACATAAAATTTAATGGTAGGGAAGACACCAGCTTAAAGAGACACGGCTTCTTACCTCTCCTTCTAAGAAAGATATCTTTTCTAGAAGCTGCAGTATTAAGAGCTGTTTCTGTTGCACCTTTTTCTTTAATGATTCAATCTAGAAAGAAACAAATTGAAAATGGTTAGTCAAAAACACAGAATTGTACAAGTTAGTCAACTGGTAGAGACGCCTTTGATTTCCATTTAGACAAAACCTACACATTTGGTTCTTTGTGGTTCATGGGACAGGAGTAATATGAGATGCTCTACGGAAAGGGGATTCCATGCCCAGGTAAGCCTGGGACATCAGACATGATTTTGGAGTGGTATGTCATTAGGCTTATTTAACCTAATCTATCCACACTGATTCTTCCATGTGACCTTCATTACTATCCCACAGGTGTCCAGAGAACATGTTTTTGGAAATGCAGACACAAGGAACATGTTTTGGGAAATGCAGACACAACTCTACATAAAATCATTATTCAGTTGAAACGTCTGAGGCACCCAGCAGATCAAAGATTCAGCTCTGTGATTCCTGTTAGTACATTCATATCTGTTCAACCAGGTGTCAAAATTTTTGGTCTGGGGAAAGGGTAATTGTCACTAAAAGTGCTAATGAAATTCAGAGGACTGGGGACTCACTGGCCTGGGGTGAACAGGGAAGGCTCCCTAAAGAGACAGACTTGAGCTGGGCTCTCACCTTAGTTTTTTAATACATATATTTTACCTTGGACTCCTCTTTGTTCTTCATTCACATGTCATGTTTCCATAGACAAACTGTAGATGCCCTAAAAGCAGGAACCAGGGAACTCCGTACCAGGCCATGTCTCAGATACCAGCCAGAATAGTGTGTAGGTTCATTAAGTAACTCAAGATTTTAAAGACTGCACTAAGTTTCCAACAATCTTGTATATTAAATGTGAACATTTGAAAAATCTTTTTTAAAATCCCTCTCAATGCAAAATGGCTTAGTTCCTATAAAAAGTACAAAAATGCAATTGCATTTACCCTTTGACTGGGTGACTCCATTTCTAAGAATAGATCCTAAAGACACAGCAGCCAAAATATGAAATGACTTGAACACAGGATTTTGGTTTTTTTAGAAAACAAAGTCTCTCAATAAATGACTGGTTAAATAAACCATGGCACATCTTAGTAGTGGACGTCTATCTAACCTTCAAGAAAAAATGAAGATCTCCAAAACACTGATATGGTGTGTTTTATGGCACGCTAGCTTTAGTGTAAAACAGGTGAGGACATATGAATACATATGTATTTGCAAAAGGAAATACTGCAAAAATAAAAACAAATCCTAATTATTAAGAAATGGTTACCAATAGGGATGGGGGGAAAATTTGATAGAGGAGACCAAACAAAAGAAAGACTTTTCTGATAAGACTGTATTACATAGGTTTAATTTTGAAAGAATATTTTACAGATTCGAAAAATAAAAGCCAAAAAGGAAAAAATAAGTAAATCCTAAAACTTGAAAATGAACTGAAATAAAGAAACTTAACTGTATATCAAATCAGTGAAAAGAATTAGTTCAAGCATTGTATGAACAAGGTAATTTGACTATATTTTTTAGTGGAATGTATTCTAAAGGTAAAAAGAACTGCAAAAAAATCTCTCATTCACCAGGAAAATTGTTAGTAGTAATATCAGCATTGTTATTTTGAAACTATTTAATATATTATAGTATTATGTTTGGAACCAAGGTTTTTAGTGTAAGAAAAAGAAATGTAAGTATGAAATCAAAGAAGTAAAAAGAGTTATATTAAATTTGAAGTTAAAATCTCAGTATAAAATTCATAATCTTTCATTTTCTTTTGTTAAATACTCATTTCCTAACTCTGTCCACTGAGAAAACTTAGAAACAATAACAAGAAGCACATACTATATCCAGATTGTGGTCTCTACATACCATTCCTCACCAAAAAGACACAGGACATCTTGAAAGAATGGCCCATTTCAAGGGGCAAAAAATATACTCAATAAACCCAGACACCTAATCATATTCAAAAACAAGGACATAAAGGGTTTTCCTTGGGCCAATCTGAGCATCAAAAAGAATAATAAATGGAACTGAATGGAATATATAGATATAAAAAACCCTGAGTATTCTATGATTCTTCAAAAACAAGAACAAAACAGCAACAACTTGTTGGTTTTCAACTCCAAAACCATTGGAGGTGAAAGGGCACAAACCCCTTATTTACCAACTGGGCAATTCAGAGGAAAGAATGAAGCATTTACCCTGCCTTTCTTGTACAAACTGCATTTTGAGATGACTAAAAAGTCCTAGTTTATGAGGGGAAAAGTTTTACTTTTCAGAAGAAGTGCAGTTAATAAATGGGGAAAGAAAGATACATTTAGAAAACCACCATTGTGCAATCCGACGAAACAACTGATTCAGGCCACCATCATTAATAGACGAAGCAGCGAGGGGCAAAGCTGGCGAGGGACTTTTTGGGGTTGGCGGCATCTGAATCCACGATCAGCCTTAGCATCATCGTTATATGGGAGGGACAGTCACACACTGTGTGCCCTAGAATGATGCAAAGTGAATCACACAGCACCACCATGAAGTATTCTTGCCTCCCCTCTCAACACACACACACACACACGAGTTGAAACTGAATCTTGTAAAGCTTCTAGAGCTAATAAGGAAAGAAAAAAGTCAGATCCAGAATTAGCAAACTTTTATAGGACAACTGGCATAGTTTCTGCAATGTCACTGGGTGGGGGTAAAACTGTAGATTAAAAGACTTAGAAACATAACAACCAAATGTAATGGACCTTCTCTGTGTGCTGATTGGAACAAAGCATCAGTAAAAGATATTTCAAAACAATGTTATTACAGGCTGGTTATTAAATGATACCCAGGAATTATCATTAATTTTGTTAAGTGTGACAATGGCATTATGATTATATAAGAAAAGGCCCACGTTTTAGAGGTGAATAGTGAAGTATATAAGAAACATATGCAGAATGTCCAGGACTTGCCCTAAAATAATTACATGAAGGGGGGAAGAGAGGAAAAGAAGGGGTAAATAAAGCAAAGATCTGGCTATTTGTTGAATCTGGGTAGTGAGCCTTCAGAATGTCATGGATTATTCTCTCTGTCCTAAGTGCATTTGACATTTTCATTATGAAATATTTTAAATTCCACCTGGTGTCAAAAAATATAACCCTCCAACATGAAAGCAAACCATACAAAATGGAATATAAGATATATGTTTAAGAAAAATGTCCAATGTTGATAATAATTGAAGAACTTGACAATTTAAAACGGTAATGAGGTATCCTTTAATACCTGTTAAATTTGCCCCAAACTATTGACTGAAGAAATTAGTGCTGGAAGGGGTGGGAGAGACAGCTACTCTCATGTGTTGCAGGTGGCATTGTAAATTAGAATGACCCTTTGGGCAATTTAGCAATAAATATTAAGAGCCATAAAGCTGTTCATACCCTTTGACCCACTAATTCCACTCCTGGGAATTTATCCTAAGAATACAATTCAGATGTAGGAAAAAAAGCTATATATACAAAGATGTTCTTGCTCCTATTATTTATAATAGAGAAAATGGAAATAACCTTAATGTCTAGCACTAAAGGAATGGGTAATAAATTATGGAATATCAATGTGATGGAATATATTACACAAACACTGAAAACAAATATATTGCAACATAGGAAAGTGTTTACAAAGAGCCTCAGGGGATAGAAAAGGGAAAGTTTACAATGGCGAAGGTAAAAGCTAGAAGAGAAGTTAGATAAACTAAATCAGTCGGGGGCTGGGGTAGGATTATGGGCAAAACAAAAAAGTTATTTTGTTTAAATTTCCTTCAACTTTTGGAGAAAAAAAATTTTCAAAAATTACCCTTATATTAGTGTTCTTTTTTCATTCCTTCCTATAGAGTCAAGATCTTTAGAAGTTGACTTTAAAATTTTTAAATGATAGGTAAAATGGGTACTGAAATTAACTAAAATGTTCCAAGAAGGTCGGAGGCAATATTCCATCAAATAACATAATAGTTTCACAACACGTTTCACTGTCTCTGAGTAATTGGAGCGGTTGGCGAGTCAGGAGGAGGCTGACCTGTGGTGAGGGCTCCCTAATGAACAGCCCATGGGAGCATTTTCATTTTAAAAAGAACGAAATACAAGGCAAGATGTCACCTGCGGAGAGCTGCGGGGAGGATTCGGGGTGTTCCCAGGAGCGGGCGGGTTGAAAGAGCGCAGGGGCCCCTCTTCCTGGGGGAAAGGCCAGGCTCGGGAGGATTCGGGGTGCTGCCGCTTCTGCCCGGCTCCTGTTCTCAGCGGCCGGTGCTTCAGGGAGCGACGTGCTCCTGTGCTGGATGAGCGCCGGGCGCGCACGTTGCCCGCCAGCCTGGAGCGTGTCTTGCAGAAGT